TCATACAAAGATCTATCAAATATTAAGTGTAAGACAATTATCCCTACACGTCTAGATCTAAAATGATGTTGAAAAAATAAATCTCATTCCTTAACCTACATTTTTCAGAATGACCTGTAGTACCTTCACTATACTTAGGCGAACATATCAATCATATCTATACTTTTTATTATAGAGAGATGACTCGAGATATATAACATATAATGATAAAATAGCATATTTAATACCTTTAGATGATTTAAATATACAATAAATGGAATAGAAATGTGTGTGAGATGTTAGTGTGATCGTGTGCTCATGTGGTCCGTACGTAAACCTTTCTTTGATATTTTGATCTATTTTAACATTTGATCTATCTGAATAATATATTTTATGCAAACTAGAGTTATGTCAGAAGGGAATCTCAATGCGACAATTACTATAATTATCAAAAACTACTACTACTAAAAATAATAATGATAATAACAATCATAGATTTTATTTTCCACGATTTTACTCCTCTTTATTTTTATTAGATTGGGAGGTCCCCCCTCATATTATCGTTGTACTTTATTTATCTACAAAGAAAAAAATCTTTACCTCTATATCTATATTTTAGAAGATACCTGTTTCTCGGGTCCTGGGTCATTCTCCCGCTGATTTCCAAGATCCACCATGGTCCTGCAGTTCTCCAACAATTGGCCTATGGCAGTTTCGATCCCAGGTCCCCCCCTCCCCCAGCATACAATCAATGATTTCCTTCTCCTTGGTTCTTCCTGGTGTTGTCTCCACTTCTATTTTCAGTGGTTATTATTTGCAAACTCTATTTTATCACAATGAATTGGATCTCGTGTAGGTTCCACACGGGGAAGAAATAAAACTGTTCCTTATCGCGCTAGCTTCAGATGTATTTTACACTTGTTTAGGGCCTTTCATTCATTTTGCTGATTTCATTCTTAGAGACCACCACAAGGCCTGTTTAAATATTTATAAATAACAATGCCAATTATTTATTGCTGAAAATATATTTCTGAATTTAGATTTGTTTGGGAATATAATATCGATTATATTATTTCTATTATTTTTACTTCAATTATTATTTTGATTTCTGGTGAAACAATGCTCTTGTGCATTGTTTTCTATAACGCAAAAAAAATAAATAAATAAAATGTGTTGTTCATCGTGGTAAATATCCCTAATTCCTGTAGGTTAGGTCTGGGAAATTAACGGCATTTTTACTAACATTGATCCTCAAGCAGATTAAGTTAGGAAGGACGGCAAACATATCGGATAGGTTTTCAGGCCTTAGTCGGGGTGGACAAAGATCTTTAACCCTTAATTACTCGCGCTGGGTGTATTACACCCAGTAAGAAACTAAACTGTAAAAATAAACTGTAGATAATAAATATAGCAGCTTGAGTGTCTCGGTAGCTTAATTATTTGTGGTGAAGCATAGATTGGCCTAATTGATTTCAAAAATATACATTTAAATTTTTGGTAATCAGATAAGCTGGGTGGTTTACACCCAGCGCGAGTGTTTACGTAAGACTTTTTGCAGGCCGTGAGTGACAGTTCGCCTATATTTTTTAGGTTTCAGATTCATCCAGATGTATTTCCTTTGGCTTTGTACATATATGCTTTGTCTGCTATTCAATTCTAGCTCGCCAAAACTATCCTTTGCTCTTAATTTTTAAAAAATAATTCATGGATACTTCACCTCTCTCTAATTCTGAATCCAAAATGAAGTTGTTGTTGGCACATCGGATATATCTTCTGATGAAAATACAGAAATATATAGCTACCATGATTCTGAATCCGAGTTGGAATCTGAAAACGAAAAAATTTTGTCCATCTTCGACTTCCAGTTTCTATGTGGGAAGAGACCAGACAACGCGGTGGAAGACCAGTGAATGGCAAAGTACAAAGGTAAGATTTCGCTCTTACAACATAATTTCTCACCTTCCTGTACTGAAAAGAGATGGAAAGAACATCACAACAGCTGTTGGAGCTTACAGAAAATTTATCATAAATAGTTGAAAAAAAAGTATGTTGTTGTATTTTGAATTTTAATTTAGCATAACTGCAGCTTATTAATTTAAACAAATTTATTATTCAAATACAAGGAGAGGTTAAATAAACTAATTAACTTAACAAATGAAGAAAAAGTTGAGCTTCAATATTCTAAGCTATTACTACAACATAAATAAAAAAAAAAACTTAGTCAAAAATGAAAATATTTGACATTACAGATTATTTTAAATTGATTTGTTTACCAATTTCAACTACTCCCCCCTTTGGTGAGCAAATCAAAATTAGGTCCAAAAAGAAGTCCCATATTTACAAGCAGTCTCTGAATTCTGTCTCCCGGCAGCCTATTGGTGAGAAGATCCGCTTCTCGAGCTTCTGAGTTCACGAAGGAGATCCTTAAATTTCCCTTTGAGACTTCATCTTTCACGAAGAAATTTTTTCTGTTAATGTGCTTGGTTCTGCAATGATGAGTTGTTCCTTTGATCCAGTCTATTGCTGATTTACTGTCTGTCTTCAGAACAAGTGGTATTTCAACACATGATTGATGACCTATTTCAGAAAGAAAGTTCATAAACCATTTTAAGTCTTTAGTGCCCTCACAGATAGCCATTAATTCCGCTTCGCATGTTGACAGGGCTACCAGTGGTTGTTTTTGAGATTTCCAACTAAGTAGTGAAGATTAATTTAGTTAAATATCCTGAAAAAAATTTTGAGTCTTTAGTTGAGGACCAACTAGCATCTGTAAAGACTTCAATTTTCCCTCTTATTCTGTCAAAGCATAACTTGTAGCTTTTTGTTCCCTTCAAGTATCTATATATTCTTTTAAGTGCAGTAAGGTGAATGACTTTGGGATCCTTGTTGTATTGGGAGAGTTGACTAACATAAAATGATATATCGGGCCTTGTTCCCACTGATAAATACATCAAGGAACCTATCATTTCTTGGTAAAGTTTAGGGTCCACAGGAGAAGAGTCTGGGTGATTATTCAGATCTTGATTAATATCACCAGGGGTTTTTACTGGATTACATTCTTCAAGGTTAAATTTCTTCAAAATCTTTTCTACATAGGCTTCTTGTGAAAGTTCGAAACAATTTTCTTTTTCCTCAATTTTGATTCCAAGAAAAAATATAGGCTTTTCTTTTCGAACAATGACAATTTGCTTATCCAATTGCTTAACTATTCTGTTAATTATGGTACTATCCGATCCAATAATGAGAAAATCATCTACATATATCCCAATTATTAGAGTTTTCTCCTCTTCTTGAAGGATGTATGCACATGGTTCACTTTCTAAACGTCTGAGTCCAATATCATTAAAAATTTGGTTAATTTTTTTCATTCCAGCATCTTCCGGATTGTGGTAAACCATATAAACTTCTGTTTAGTTTACACACTATATTTTCCTGTCCTGCTTGAACAAATCCTTCAGGTTTTTCCAGGTACACATCGTCTTTTAGTTCCGCATTGAGATAGGCAGTTTTAACATCATATTGTTCAATTTTCATGTTTTGTTGTGATGCAATGGCAATCGATGATCTTAAAGAGTCCAGCAGGAACAAAAGATTCTTCAGAGTCACGCCAGGTTTTTGATTATGCCCCATTGCAAAAAATCTAGCCTTTCTTTTGTCAATGCTTCCATCTGGATTCATTTTTATATTAAAAATCCATTTTCCTTTTATCAGGTTTTCTTTTTCTGGTTTGGGTACAAGGGTCCAAACATTATGTGAAGTTAGGGAATGGAATTCCTCTTCCATTGCTTCTTTCCATTGGTCTGAAAATGGAATGTTCATGGCTTCTCGATATGTTTTAGGTATGTTTATGGAAGTTGAATATAATTCGGTTACATTGGCTGCGTTTCTTTCTTTTATTCTTTCAGATCGTCTTACACCACTTGCTCTCAGCCTCTCTTCCTGCTCTTGTAGATTGATGAGATGCTTTGCCTGAATATCTTCATTAGTTCTTCCTGCAATACGTCCGGGTTTTCGGTGTAATCCTGATGATTCAGGTATTGGTTCAGGGTTGTCTGGAGTATTTAGTTCTTCTGGAGTAGAGCCCATGGTATGTTCAAATCGTAAGAAATCTGATTCATGTTGTTCATTTCTATAGATAATATGATCTTGGACATGTTGGTCAAAAACATTAGAATTCAAGAGATCAGAGCCTTTTGAATTTTCATCAAATTTGACAGTTTGAACTTCGTGTATTTTTCCATCTTGTGGATCATATATTCTATAAGCTTTTCTTTGTCTGGAGTAACCGGTGAATATTCCTTTTCTTGCTCTAGAGTAAAATTTATTTCTTTGATTTTTAGAAATGTAATAGTAGGCAAGACTTCCAAAAATTTTTTAAATGTGCTACTGATGGTTTGTGTCCAGTCCATTTCTCTATGGGAGTTTTCATGTTATCATTCTTGGTCGGTGTGCAATTCTTCAAATAAGCGCCTGTTGCAATGGCTTCCGCCCAAAACTCAGTTGGTAACTTAGGATCAAATAACATAGTTTTAGCCCAATTTAGAAGGGTGCGATTGGTTCGTTCTGCAATTCCGTTGCTTTGTGGTGAATATGGAACTGTTCTTTGATGGTGTATTCCTTCATTTCTGAAAAACTCATGAAATTCGAAACCACTTCGAAGTATTGTCCGGAAACATGCTGGTCAGTCACCAGAAACTATGGTAAGTTTTATGTCAAAATATAATCGAAAAATGTATCTCTAATCGTTTTATAATTTAGGAAGAAGACATTTCAGAACCTCTTTCAAAGGCCCAGAAAAGATGCCATCTTTGTTCTTATAAAAAATATCGTAAAACCAAAACACTATGCCAGAAGTGCCAAAAGAATGTTTGTAAAGAACAATCTTGCAATTATACCGTGAATGTTCCTTTTAAACAAAAATCGAAATTTATTTTAAAGAGAAATAGCGATTTATTCTAACTTTAAGGATGAAGTATGATAGGATGAATTGTGAAGAGTAATGACAAACGCAAAAATAAAAGTGTCCAGGGTTGGGAAACCACAGTGTTCCGCTTACCGGGCAGATGCCATGTCCACTAGGCTACCCTGGACATATTTTTCCGTTCGTAAATATTATATGAAGTAATTTAAAATACAATATAACGCGGCTGATGTTGTAAAACGAAAATTGCAATTATACCGCGAATGTTTCTTTTAAACAAAAATCGAAATTTATTTAAAAGAGAAATAGCGATTTATTCTAACTTTAAGGATGAAGTATGATAGGATGAATTGTGAAGAGTAATGACAAACGGAAAAATAAAAGTGTCCAGGGATGGACTCATACTTCATCCTTAAAGTTAGAATAAATCGCTATTTCTCTTTAAAATAAATTTCGATTTTTGTTTAAAAGAAACATTCGCGGTATAATTGCAATTTTCGTTTTACAATCATCAGCCGCGTTATATTGTATTTCAAAGAACAATCTATTATAATGTGTAGGCATTGCATGTTAAATATTTCGGAAATTGTATCCCAAATTAAAAAAAAAAATTGATTATGGTGCGTAAATTAACATTTTAGTTTTAAAAATATTTTAAAATATAAATATTACTATATTTTCGATTAAAATATCTAAATTGTTAATAAAATAATTGTATCATACAAAAGGGTTCAAAAATATATTTGTTTTAAGTGACATTTCACCAGTTTAAAACACCGGGTGTATTACGTCCAGCGCGAGTAGTTACGTCTCAAAAGTGAACGCGAGTAACTAAGGGTTAATGAGAATATAATATATATTGATATCTAGCACATAGACTGCCCAGCTTCAATTGATACTCTAAGGTAGGTTTGCTTGCTGATTTCTTTTGATATTGAGGTTCTAGACATATTACAAACAAAAGTGGTGATAAGCTGTCTCCCCTGTAGCATGCCTTTCTCAATTTTTATTGTTTTCAAACTCTTTCTGCCGTGGATTTGACAAAAGTTACTATTTACGCGTTAACACAAAATGCAATAAACTAGGGCCTACAGTAAGAGTAACTTGAACACAGAAAAAAACCGTACACTCAAGAGTACAAAACACACAAAAAAAGTAAATAATAACTCACAATTTGTTAAATAAATTTAAAAAAAACACACACAGTACTTATCTTTATTGTTGAGTTGGTAGGGATCGGACCGGGGTTACACAGGTATGCGAGGAGATAGTCAGACACGGATAAAGCACACAGAGATTTAAGCGTCTCCACACGATAATCCACCACACTTCCCCTCGACTCCTCTCGCAATACCATAGCCCCCTTTTATATAAAAAAAATGGCCACATTCGTCCAATGAGAAGGCGGGAGAGATTGGTTCACTATCAAACGATAACAAAATTCTTCCCACTAAAATCTGAGATAAGATTGAAAAAATGCAAATATTTGTCAATATAATTTGACAAAAGGTTTCCTTCAAAAAAAAAAAAAAAAAAAAGAAAGAAACTAACCAATATCCCAAACATTCCCATTTTCACGTAAGGAAAACCTCCCGCTGTTCGGGAGGTAAAAAGCTCACGGGAGCCACGTTATAAAGATACAAAAACAAAAAACTAAAGAGAGGAAAAGAAGACATCCGGGTCGTTCCATAAAGGTGCCTTCCATCTTGTTCTTCCCAACAGAAACTTCAAAAAGAAATCTGTGCAAACTACGTGAGTCACCATGAGTGATTACCAAACACACATATATAATATGCTTTAGCAGACAGAGTTTAATGGGGGACCAAATAAGCTCTCATATGGGACCGGCTGGGTATGTTAGGTAGACTTAGGGTACTAACAGACGCTCACTTGATGAGAAACCGAACGATCCAATTCCATTCAGTTCTCTCAAGTCCAAGAGCTAAGAGCTCTTCTTAACGCCTGTTTATAAACGCTTTCATCCTATCGACATGTACAACTTTCACATCGTTCATAATGACTTATTTTACTCTGAAGTTGACATCGGAGACTCTAGCTTCCACACAGAAAGGCCCATAGAGGTTGGTGTAACCTTCATTCTTAGAAACAGCTAGCATTACCAGGTCTCCTTTGTCGAAACTTCTGGAATAAGGTGGCCTAGGATTCATAAGCCTTTTAACAGAATTACCTGACATAAACTGTCTGACAATTTCCTTTGCTTTCCGCATCACCCTTAACCTCTCAGCCCAAGTAGGCTTTCTAAAACTATTAACAGACCCAGCGCTACACTCACAGTTTATGTTAAACTCAGTAGGTGGCAACTTTACAGCCTCGTTTTCAATGCGCTTCACTGATCTTTCCTCTAAGGAGCTTGAAACCATTGGTCTATGCACACTGGCAACGTAGCTAAGGTCTACATAATCTCGGACTTCTGGTTTCCAGAATCCCGTCGTAGCCCTTATCTCCGAGTGACATTAGCCAAAACCTATCTCTCCCAGCTCGCTGCCGTTTTCGTTACCAACTCTACAGGTTTTAACACGTGTAAGTGTCTGCTCGTGGCCTGTAACTGATACTATACGTAAAGTTTTAAGTGCATCGTCCCAATTCTCCTTCAAGACATTGCACTTTTCAGAATCAATAATACTGACTTGGCTTCCTGTATCATATAAAAGGGGCCACATATTGCCGTTAATATTCACCTTAACTATTGGCAGATTTCCTAACTGATCTCTGCCATAAGAACGTATGTTCACTATCTCAGCATTGTCAAGAGTATTGCGGTTGGCAAACATAGAAGACTGTCTTGAGCAATCACTAGCTATATGTCCTAATCTACACTCAGGTGGACTCAGCTTGATTTCGCCCAACAATTTAGTCAGTTTTTCTATCTCACCTCTAAGGTCTTTAATACACTGCTCATTTTCGTGCTTCATCCTGTTTACACTGGCACTAAGCATCTTCATCTCACCCTTAATGCTTTTTATTTATTCAACCCCTTCTACTGAACATACCCCTTTCATAAAGCTGCAACAGTGTTCTACACTATCTTCCGTGGCCATGACACTGACTGATTTGTCTATTGATTTAGCCTCACTGCGAACAATAGCCTCTCTATACTTGTCGAGCACATTTTCGAGGAAAATTTCGGACACTAGGATATCGTCAAATCTGTACTCTACTTTATCTCTAATGGCCAGGAATCTTTCTTCAAACACCATAGCACTTTCCCCAACTCTCTGCTTAAGACCTTCTATTAATTTAAGGCATTCCATAATAACACGCGCTTTTTTAGGGTACAATATGTTCAGTTTACTAACAATACTTTTAAAACTGCTATCGTCACGGATACCCATCTCCTCTAAGCTCAACCTAACTTAAGGGGATAAAGCCTCGAACATGAGCAGTGCTTTGACCTCAGGATCCCATTTGCCTACTCGAGCTTTAAGCTCGACTTCCCGAATGAAAGACTCGAGATCAACCTCATTAAATACTGATAAATTGAGCATAGAATTCGCGAACATGATGGAGTACAAAAAATAATAATAAACCACTCGAACAAAGAAAAAAACCGCACGTAAAAATTACAGGAATTTACACGTGCAAACACCAGTAATCCTGGAAGGGCTCGTCAATGACAAAGTTACTATTTACGCGTTAACACAAAATGCAATAAACTAGGGCCTACAGTAAGAGTAACTTAAACACACAAAAAAATGTACACTCAAGAGTACAACACACAAAAAAGTAAATAATCACTCACAATTTGTTAAATAAAAAAAGAAAACAGTACTTATCTGTATTGTTGCGTTGGTAGGGATCGGACCGGGGTTACACAGGTATGCGAGGAGATAGCCAGACACGGATAAATCACGCAGAGAACACTTTAAGCGTCTCCACACGATAATCCACCACACTCCTCCTCGACTTCCCTCGCAATACCATAGCCCCCCTTTTATATACAAACATGGCCACATTCGTCCAATGAGAAGGCGGGAGAGATTGGTTCAATATCAACCGATAACAAAATCCTTCCCACTAAAATCTGAGATAAGATTTTAAAAATGCAAATATTTGTCAATATAATTTGACAGATTATAAAACTATTTTAGAGGCGTAATATTCTTTTTTTTTTTTTTTTAATAAAACAATTTCTACTGTCCTTACTGCGATGGAAAATTTTTTCCATCGCAGTAAGGACAGTAGAAATTGTTTTATTTGAAAAAAAAATAGAATATTACGCCTCTAAAATAGTTTTATAATTTGATAACAGATGGCGCTCTAGTACATCGTAACATAATTTGACAGATTAAACTCAAATTTACTTGATTCAATGCAATTTTAGCAAAGGGGTTAATTTACTGTATTTTGACAACTCCAAAATTTTAAATAGGTACTCGTGGTCAATATAACGAAGGCTTTGGTATATCGATTTATACTGTCTTTAATATATTTAGAGGTTCATTGAAAGCTTCTTTGTTTAGAAGTATCTGCCCTTTTTCTCGAAATGTCTTGATGTTACAAACTGGTTTGTTTAAAAATAATTTCACTTATCCAAATATTTGTTCAGGTTTTGTAGCAATATTCTAGAAATCAGTTTGTATACATTACTCATCTAACGTATTGTTGGGGTCTTTTCTCCTTTTGGAATGAGATTTGTCTTTGCTATGAAAAGCCAATCAGGTATTGACTCCGGATCTCAGATAGCTGTTTTGAATGGATTTGAAGAGGCGATCGTTTAACGACTTTAGATTCTTGATCAAAACGTATTTTGCTTATAACTTCAGATTTCCAATTGAGAAAGATTTTTATTGTATCAAGGAATAACTCTATATAACTCCAGCTGTTCTATGTGTTCGTTTGCGGAATTTTATGTTCTTTATCAGCAATCTTGATATATTAAGATGAGTATTCCTTACCAGAATTTACATATTTCGTCTTCACCAATATTGCCTTCATTTTGTAATTTCAACGATCTATAAGAAGCGTCCCTGTTCAGATCATATGATTAATTAGATTTATTGGAGTCATTCATATAATAAATAAATTGCAAATAATATCTCTCTCTATCTCTTTTCCACCCTAATTTTTCTAAAATTTATATCGTTTCGATTGGGAAGTTTAGTTTTCTATTTTCTGCAAAGGATCTCAGGGATGTATCAAAGTCTTGATT